GGGGCGCAGACAGAGAACACCCCATGAATCACGGCTGCACCTCGGCGGCTGGATGGCGTGCTGACACTGCCGCCCCCGCCCGCCCCTCCCCCGAGTCACGACACCGCCGCGCCGCCCCCGCTGCGCGCGCAGCGTACCGTACCGCGGCGGGGCGGGGCACGGCGGGGCGGCTAAGCTCACTGCATCCATCCAGTAAGTATCCGGTTTTGTTTACTCGAACCACGCCGTTCTGCTCTCTCCGCCTACTCGAACACGTCGTCGTGTTTTACACTTTGAATTCACGACTTCGTGATTACAGTCAATAACCGCGACGTCCGGCCGGAGGGCGTTTGTTTTTAAAGCCTCACACCGCCCCTCCGCCGCGTTTCAGGAGGACCTCCTCCTCCTTGCTCGCTTCCTTCCGGGGGCCGGTCGGGCCTGGGCGTCGCGCCTCACCTGCAGTAACTCAACGACTCGTTACGCGCCCTCTCTCTCTCCACGCTCGACGTGACGCTGTCGTGACGCTGTCGTGACGCTGTCGTGACGACGTGACGTCTCCCCGGTGACGCTCCACGCCATCCCCCTCATCATCACGGAAGCAGCAGCAGCTCCAGCGTATTTTCTCTCCCGCGTGCGTTGAAGTCTCCCCCTCCTCTTCCCCGTCGTCGTCATCATCATCATCATCGTCTTCATTGCTCTTACACAGGGCAGGTTTAACAACCCCATCAACGAATGCGTGCGTTTCCTTTCCCCGTCTATGTATAGGGTACTCTCTCCTTCGGTTGCCGCTATATTGCCTGTTTGTTTTTTCTAGATATATATTTTCATTATTATTGCCTTTACGATTATTTACTGTTATTGAAGTCTGTGCCGTCGCTCGTCGTGTCGGCCGTTTCCCAGGCAGGCGAGACCCATGCAGCGGCGGCAGCGGGTGGACCATAGGCGGGTGCTGCCGGTGGAGCGGGGCGAGGCGGAGCCGCGGGCATGACCTCACCGCCACCTCCTCCTTTCACTGCTTGTCTGGCCGGCCTGTCGACACGGTAGCGCGCGGTGCGGCGGGGCTGGGCGGGGCGGGGCGCGCACTTTACAAGTGTTACCACCACGTAACGACGCGATGCGCCATCGGATAGGACAGAAAGAGAGGAGAGGGTGTGAGGGGAGCGGTCTGAGGAAGGCATGCTTTTGTTGTTGTGTCGCCCGGCCCCACTGGAAGAGCGCCGCGTCGCCTTTAGTGCCGTCAATCACTATGGGTGTCGTCAGTTCGTCAGCCACACCAGCTGACGTGCCGACGACCCCCGCTTAGCGCAGCTCCGCGCTGGCGTTGCGTTCTCCTCACTACTGCCTGCCGATAACCACACACCTCTCTCCTGGCCCCGCGCCTCCCTGATGGCAACGACCGCCGTACAGCTGTCTCTCGTGCTTCACAAATGACTTTTTCTAGCAATACTGCTCTCTCTCCCCCCC